AACCAAAGAGCTATTGAAGCCTAAACCCTAAAGTTTGCTATCTCTGACTGCTTTTTCTCACAACACCATTTAAGTCATGGCATTACTTTTAGGGATTTGATTTGCTTTTAGATTAATTGGTATGGCTCTCTTCAGCACGTGTACCATCGGGTATATTTGACATCTTTATTTCTTTTTAAATTAAACATAAATTAATATGATCTCTAAAAAATATTTTTCCTTTTTTAAATTACTATGAACCTCCCACCATCTAGATACTTTATGATCAACATATTACATTTACATTTTTTTTATACAACCCCTTCTCTTGATATCTTTTTATATCTAATGGTTCAAACATCAACGAATGCAAAAAGAAAAAATAACAACACACATTTGAAGATATATTTTGATGTACATCCAAATGTACATCTCTCAAAGATGGTGTAATCTCTAGCACTAATGAAATGAAACCAAATCCTACAAGGAAGAGCCAAAAAAAAAAAAAAAAAAAAGTAAACATCACAGTACAGTACAACATTTTATCACGTTTGGAAAAGATTAAATGTAAAAGGGTGGAGATTGTTAGACACCTTGCACTTTTTTTTGGCTATGAGAAATATAAATGGAGGAAAATAAGGCTAAATAGCCAAAATGGTCCCTGAGATTTGCATAACTCATCACTTTGGTCCCTAACATTTCAAATTGATAAAAGTGGTCCCTGAGATAGTCCACCATCCATCATTTTGGTCATTCCGTTAAAAACTGTTAGAAACCAATCAAATGTCACTGACACAATATATATTTTGCACAGTTTATTTCGAATGCGAAATTCAACAACAAATACTATAAATATAAAAATACAAACACTTAAGTAAATTGCGTATAAAATCACAAATCACTGACTTGTTCTTGAAGATAGAGGCTTGCAAATGCAATCACCAAAGACAGAAATTCGCCCCTACACTCGTGCAGTAGTTCAACGGACGTCTATATTGCATGATACAACTATCTAATCCAAGTTCTTGCACTCGAACTTGGATTCTTGGTGAATTGGTTGTGTGTTTCTCTGTGTAAAATGAAAAGGAAGCGTTGGAAAATCTATGTTAAGTTTCTGATCTTATTGCCATATATATAATGGCATAAATTGAATAAACATAACTGTTCATTCTTATCAGTTATAAAACTGACATAACTGTTCAATCAGTTTTATCCCTTCAGAAAAAACTGAATAAAAAAAAAACGTAACTTGTGTTTTCGTCCATCCGAGCCCTAAGGCCCAAGGCCCATCTTTGACATTTAATATATACACCCAAACCCTCCAAGTCTAAGGCCCAAGGTCCATGGCCTTGGCCCAATTCTTTTCAAACCATAAGTGTGAGGACACACTTATAAAGATGACTTTAAAATGGGATATGGCCGATATGGGACTCCCAGTCTCACATATGCACAAAAGTTCCAACAATACCCCACATTTTCTATTCAAACTCTAGCAATACCCTTGAATAGAAAATAAGATACTAAGTAAATTAGTAACGTCTTTCTAGAGAACTTAGATATGATGTGCATCGGGATAGATGTCTTTTGGACTTGAATCTTCTCTAGTGAGTACTTATCGGATTTACCCAATGAAGCAGTGAATTTAATATCTTGAACTGATCATTGTTAGTAGTAAATCGAAACAAGAAGTATCACACATATCATATCTGGACACACTTCAATTCATACGGTTGTGTTTATTTTGGTCCTGAACATATCCTGATTTCATGAGACCTTTAGAGAATTGTAGCCATATTAATTCTCAAAGATGCGACCCCACATCAATCTCATATAGGTAATGCTAATTGAGAATAGCCTGTTATATTCATCTTAAACATAAGATATTAGCATTATTAAGAATAGTAATTCACCCCTTACTTCTTACAGGTAACACACTGTTTTCCATCATAAGAATGAGTAAGGATTGTGTGTTTCTTACTTTGAGTTTTCCTTAACTAGTTTTCCTATTGAACCTAGACCATGGGATCTCCAATTAGCTAGGTTAGGTTTGCGTCAAGTTATAACTCACTGAGTTGGCTTTAACCCCATTCCTCTCGATATAAATGCCACTTGATCCTTGGATAGGTCTTTTTGTCAAAGGATCGGCAATATTCTCCTTAGATTTAATATAATCAATGGAAATAGTTCCATTCTTGAGTAGCTGTTTAATGGTTTTATGTCGTCGCCTTATGCAGCCATGCTGTCACAATGTATACATACTGCAGTCACAGGCTTTGGCCATAACGGAATATCTTCCAGAAAATTTTTAAGCCATTTAGCTTCATTAGCAGCTGCATCTAAAGCTATAAACTCTGATTCCATTGTTGAACGTGCTATACACATTTGCTTAGATGATTTCCATGACACAGCTGCTCCACCAAGTGTAAATACATATCCACTTGTGGATTTACTATCTGTGCTATCTGAAATCCAATTTGCATCACTATATCCTTCTAAAACTGGGGGATATTGAGTGTCATGCAAACCATAGTTCATTGTATGCTTTAAGTATCGTAATACCCTTATTAATGCATTCCAATGATCTCTTCCAGGATTACTTGAATACCTACTTAGTCGGCTTATTGAATAAGCAAGATCAGGTCTTGTACAATTCATAATGTACATCAAGCAACCTATAACTTGGGTATACTCTAATTGAGATACACTATCTTCTTCGTTTTTAGTAAGTTTATGAATGGGATCAAAAGGAGTTACTGCAGGTTTACAATCATAATGTCCAAACCGTCTTAGAACCTTTTCAACATAATGTGATTGAGTTAGAACATATCCATCTGAATTCCTTAGAATTCGAACTCCAAGAATCACATCAGCTATTCCCATATCTTTCATATCAAAAACTAGAATTTAGCATTTTCTTTGTTGAGTTAATCACATCTTTGTTTGTTCCCAATATAAGCATGTCATCAACATATAGACATACAATAACACAAGCAATTTTTGTTTGCTTAACATAAATGCACTTATCACTTTCATTGATCACAAATCCATTTGTGATCGTATTATGATCAAATTTTTCATGCCATTGCTTAGGCGCTTGTTTAAGTCCATATAATGACTTAATCAATTTGCAAACTTTCTTTTCTTGACCTTTGACAATGAAACATTCAGGTTGTTCCATATATATTTCTTCGTCTAATTCACCATTTAGAAATGCATTTTTGACATCCATTTGATGTATCTCGAGATTGTACACATATGCTATAGCTATTAATAACCTTATAGAAGTTATTCTAGCTATGGGTGAACAAGTGTCAAAATAGTCAATTCCTTCTTTTTGACGATACCCTTTGGCAACTAGACGAGCTTTATACTCGTTTATGGTACCATCCGGTCTCAATTTCCTTTTAAAAATTCATTTGTGTCCTATTGGTTTATTTCCAGGAGGTAAATTAACCAATTCCCATGTATTATTTTGCATGATGGATTCGATTTCACTTTGAATAGCTTCTTTCCAATAAGGCGCTTCAGATGATTCTAATGCAACCTTATGAGTTTGAGGCTCTTCTTCAGTTACAAAAGTGAGGAAATCAGGACCAAAATCCTTTGCAATTTTTTCTCTTTTACTCTTCCGTGGTTCCAAATCTTGGCTTTGAACCCTAGAAGTTGAGGCATGATTTTCGTCATCATTTCTTGTAGTATCATCATGTACTCTTTTGTTCAAAACATATGACCTATCTTTATAAGAAAAAATTTCCTCAAAGAACTCAGCTTCAGCAGATTCAAGTATTGTATTTACATGAATATCTGTCATTTCAGATTTATGAACCAAAAATCTATATGCCGAACTATTATTGGCATGACCAATAAATATACAATCCACTGTTTTTGGTCCAAGTTTTTGTCTCTTTGGAAGAGGCACTTGAACTTTTGCAAGACAACCCCACACTTTCAAGGTTTTGTATGTACGTAACCTACCTTTCCAGATTTCATAAGGAGATTGATTAGTCTTCTTATGTGGAATTCAGTTCAAAATTGTGTTTGCAGCAAAGAACGCTTCACCCCATAGATTATGTGGTGCACCAGAACTGTTCAACATGGAATTAATCATATCCTTTAATGTACGTTTTTTTTTCGTCCAGCCACTCCGTTTTGTTGAGGAGTATATGGTGCTGTCGTTTGATGTATTATTCCATGTATTGAACAAAATTCTGCAAAGTCATTAGATTCGTATGCACCACCTCTATCCGATCTTAAGACTTTTATTCTCTTGTCTAGTTGATTTTCGACTTCGGCTTTAAATGTCTTCAACATGTTTAAAGCTTCATCTTTACTATGAATTAAATAAACATAACAATACTTGCTGCAATCATCAATGAAAGAAATATAGTAGTTATTTGCTCCACGAGTTGGTGTGGATTTGAAATCACAAAGATCACTATGGATTAAACCAAGTATTTCGTTGGATTTTTCCACTGATTTATATGAGTGTCTTACATATTTAGATTCTGTGCATATCTCACATTTCGATAGTTTGTTCATGGAACATTTGGGCAATAGGCCTAAGTTAACCATTCTTTGAAGAGAACGAAAATCAACATGACCTAATCTTGCATGCCATAATGTAGACGACTCAATCAAGTAAGTAGAAGAAGCACTAGGCTTGTTATTCTTATTAATAGCATTAACAGAAAGTACATTAAGTTTGAAGAGCCCTTCAACCAGGTAGCCCTTTCCCACATACCCTTGGTGATTACAAACTTATCAGATTCAAACACAATTTTGAAACCTTTGTTACTTAGAAGTGATCCAAAAATCAGGTTCTTACGAATATCAGGAACATGCAGAACATTGGTGAGTAAAAGCTCTTTTCCAGAAGTGAGTTTGAGCGTCACTTTTCCCTTCCTTGCAATAGCAAATGCAGTTGCATTTCCCATGTACAGATTTTCTCCACCATCAATAGATTGGTAAGTAACAAACAAATTCCGATCAGCACACACATGCCTTGTTGCTCCTGTATTAACTTACCAGTCATTGGAATTAGTTAATAAATTGACTTCAGATACAACTGCAACAAACTTGTCTTCTGCAACGTTTGCTTGATTGGAATTCTCAGAATTCTGATCCTTCTTGTGGCGGCATTCCTTTGCCCTATGACCTGTCTTTCCACAAACCCAGCAACCTCCTTTGATTTTCTTGAAGGTTTTCCCTTTCACAGCCGTGAGTGCTTTCTTTGCAAAATCTTTGCCTTTGTTTTTCTGATTATGCCTTACCTTGTGTGAGTCACCTCCTTCCACAACATTGGCTTTTGCCTCCAACGATGAGACATCATACTTCTCATTTCTACGATGATCCTCTTCCACACGCAGTTTGAGAATCAATTGATCTATGCTCATGTCCTCAGTTAGATGCTTCAGATAAATCTTAAAGTCCTTCCAATCTGAAGGCATTTTCTCTATTATAGAGCCAACCACAAAACCTTCTTTCAAACCAAGATTTTCTTTATCTAACTCATGAACAATCACTTGGAGTTCTTCAACTTGTTTGACAACAGACTTTGCGTCACTCATCTTGTAATTCAGAAATTTTCCAATTACAAACTTCTTGGAACTTGCCACTTCAGACTTATACTTCTTGTCCAAAGACTCCCACAGTTCTTTCCCTATCTTATATGATGAATAAACATCATACAGAGAGTCATCTAAAGCATTCAGAATGTAGTTCCTGCATAGAAATTCATTGTGAGTCCAGGCTTCTACAGCCTGCAGAATTTCTGCAGGAATATCTCCCTCTTCTGGAGCTTTAAGGGCCTCAGAAGTAATCACATGACTCAAGTTCAGAGTTGTCAAATAGAACAACATTTTCTGTTGCCAACGTTTGAAATCAACTCCCTTGAATTTCTCAGGTTTCTCAACGTGTTGCTTGATGACACCAACATTTGATTGATCCATGGTTTCACAATAATTTCGGTCGTAAATTGTTAGAAACCAATCAAATGTCACTAACACAATATATATTTTGCACAGTTTATTTCGAATGCGAAATTCAACAACAAATACTATAAATATAAAAATACAAACACTTAAGTAAATTGCATATAAAATCACAAATCACTGACTTGTTCTTAAAGATATAGGCTTGCAAATGCAATCACCTAAGGCAGAAATTCGCCCCTACACCCGTGCAGTAGTTCAACGGATGTCTATCTTGCAGAATACAACTATCTAATCCAAGTTCTTGCACTCGAACTTGGATTCTTGGCGAATTGGTTGTGCGTTTCTCTATGTAAAATGAAAAGGAAGCGTTGGAAAATCTATGTTAAGTTTCTGATCTTATTGCCATATATATAATGGCATAAATTGAACAGACATAACTGTTCATTCTTATCAGTTATAAAACTGACATAATTGTTCAATCAGTTTTATCCCTTCAGAAAAAACTGAATCTAAAAAAAATAAAAAAACGTAACTTGTGTTTTCTTCCATCCGAACCCCAAGACCCAAGGCATTGACATTTAATATATACACCAAAACCCTCCAAGTCTAAGGCCCAAGGTCCATGGCCTTGGCCCAATTCTTTTCAAACCATAAGTGTGAGGACACACTTATAAAGATGACTTTAAAATGGGAAATGGGAGATGTGGGACTCCCATTCCCACATATGCACAAATGTTCCAACAAAAACTCCGTTAAGTGTCCTGGAGTTCTTGGCCGGAAGTTTGGATAATTTTCAAAGCTTCGTAACTAAATCGTTTCTTAACCAAATTCCACCCATAATATATCAAAATGAAGATAGGAAAATGTAGAATAAGATTATATATATTTAGAAGCCCAATGGCTGCCGGAGATAACTGAAAAATAGCCTCAAAATTGACTGTTCTGAAGGAAAACTAGAAAACTCTCCGGAAACTGGGTAAACTTTAAACGTTCATAACTTCTTCAACACTCAACGAAATCAAGTAATTCAAAAATAGAAATCATACTTCTCGATGAGAAGAAGACAATGGTTTTTTTTTTTTTTACAGCTAACTAGCCATGGTTTGGCCAAAAAACGGCTCGAAAATGGTTGTCTTAGTCTCGAGTTAGCCATTTTTGAGCCGTTTTCTAAACCAAACCAGGGCAATTTAGCCATCTAAAAAGGTACCATTCTCTTTTTCTCGTTGAGAAGTATGATTTCATTTTTGAATCATTTGATTTCGTTGAGTATTGAAGAAGTTATGAACGTTTAAAGTTTACCCAATTTCCGGCGAGTTTTCCAGTTTTCCCTCAGACCAGTTAACTTTGAGGCTATTTTCTGGCCATCTTCGGCATCCATTGGGCTTCCAAATAGGTATACTCTTATTCTACACTTTCCTATATTCATTTTAATATATTATGAGTCGAATTTGGTTAAGAAACGATTGAGTTACGAAGCTTTGAAAATTGCCCAAACTTCCGGCCAAGAGCTTTGGGACACTTAACAGAGTTTTTAACGGAATGACCAAAATGATGGATGATGGACAATCTCAGGGACCACTTTTATCGATTTGAAATGTTAGGGACCAAAGTGATGAGTTATGCAAATCTTAGTGATCATTTTGGCTATTTAGCCGGAAAATAATGAACCTGTGAGGAGAAACCCTCCTAGCACACAAAGCTATGAGGATCAGATGCTCCCAAGCATTACTACTTTTGTGGTGAGAGCTGAAGAGGGAGAAACTTCTTTTGATTTTCAAAATTTGACAAAAGAAACCAGAGCAGAAGTGCGTACAGATTTAATCGTGGATTGGGAACCAAGAAGAGACATGTTAAACCAAGGGGGTTTTCAGGCTATTCATAACAACTCTACCACAATCACATGCTGCAATAGGACTGCAACATAATGCTGAAGATTTGATTGCCCTTAGGTTAATTTGACGAAACCACATCTCCCAACCAACCCAAAGGTCTTGACAGAATAAGACGCAGCATCTTACCTACCTGCAAATAAATTCCCCAAACACTCAAATTTCAGCTTGAAAATCGAAAGGAATAATCTTCAGAGAGACCCAAATCGATAGGAAAATTTTACTCGAACTTATAGATTGATTCTTGCTTCATTTGTTTGGCAATCTGATGATTTGAACTGAAAATCGGTTAAGTTCGAGAGCAACATGGTAGAACAAAACTGCTATACTTATTGGCTATGAGATTTAAAAACAAAACAAAACAAAAACTTGCTTGTGCAAAATTACTTTAACGCTCATATTTTTTTTTTAATATTTTCTTTCAATTATGTTTTAAAGGATATAATTATAGTTTCATTAGTTTTTGGTTTTTTTAACGATTAATTAATTTTTGGTTAATAAACAAGATTTTATTAATATGTAGTTTAGATATTGGCATGCCAATTTATTCAACTTTAGTTCTATTATACATTTTTCTCTTATAGGAAAAGGTTTTAAATTCGAATTATCTTCTTCCCTTGAAACAAAAAAAACAAAAACAAAAAAAAAAACGAAATATTTCAAATTCGGCCAAATTGCATTTAATGATCCTTATACACAAATTTTTGTCCTTATAGTGTTTTTTTTTTCACTGTAGTCCGAGTCCAATATATCAACTAAGTTGATTTTTTGCAACAAAACGTTTGCCTTATTTGACGGATCAGAATAACAATGCTAACAGAATGAAACTACCAAGGTAAAAAACGCAACAAAAGAAACTAGAATGAAAGTGACAATTCGAGCAAACTGCATGATTTTTTTTCTTAATGTTCAAATATGGGATGCCACCAGTACTACAATATTGTAGTATTACTCCACACTGATAACTAGGAAAGTTATGTGGATGATTAATTTGATATATAATTATGAATGACACTAGTTTCGGCTCTTAATATCTCTGTATAAAAAAAAGTAAAAAAAAAAGTTATTTTTATCATATATTTGTAACATTTTTATACCTTCTAACAGACATATGATCCACATGTATTGGTAATCCTACTTTTATTAAAGAAATGATACAAATAACCTACAAATAAATAATAAGTGTAACATTATGCATGTGAATGCCACGTTAATATCATTATATGGCTATACAATTTATGAAGTCAAATTTCATTACGAAAAAAAGAAAAAGGAAAAAACAACACTTCAACGTCAGTCAATTTTAATTTTCTTTGGGATTTAGACGTTGCCTCCCCCTACATTATACAGCTGACGAGCAATAATTTTAAAACTGACGACCAGTAAAAACTTCTGTAGTTGAGCAGATTATTTCTTTGGCATTGGGAAACGATAGAAAATGAAAAGCCTCTGCAATCTGCATGTTGCATCACAAGGGCTGCACAAAGAGGGGACCAAAGGGAAAAAAATTCGAAAAAGATATGCCCCTACCAATTAAAATTTCCACTTGTATCTATAACAAAAAGTTGATACTCCGAAGCATCATATAATTTCGCTTCCCTAAATCCAACCAACTCTTTTGAGCTCTGATCTCATCTGAGGCATGACAAATCACACTATCCAGTTGGCAAAAGAGTAGATTGTCAATTTCCTCCCTAAACTTTCACCGAACTTTCAATTTACTTCCTAAACTTTTAAATTGGAAAATCAAGAACTTGAACTAATTTTTTTGGCCAAATTTTCCCCTACTGTTAGTGTTCTATAGATTAACGTTAACTCTTATTACGTGTACATCACATGACTCTAAGAACAAAAACATCACTTCGCTAGACTTTCCAACATAAAAGCTATAGAATCACACAAATTTGTACAGATCAACATTCTAGAAATCTAGGGTTTTCAACTAAACTACCCTCACATGTCATGCACAATTTTTTATTTAACAAAAATTTAGATGGAATGAATAGAAAACTAACAGCATGAGGGAAATCAGCCAAAAAATTAGTTTAAGTCCTTAATTTTTCAATTAAAAAGTTTAGAGAGAATCGAAAGCTAAGTGAAAGTTCAGGAGAGAAGCCAACAGTTTACTCGGTTGGCGAATATATGAAGATACAAAGCCTTCTAAACTTCAATCAAGTTATTTTGGCTAAGAAGAATTCGTACACAAGCACCGAAAAAACCGAAACAAAAGCCGAAAACCTAGCAGCAAAACTTGTAATAGGATCAGAATTTGTGGCGCATTGCTGCATGCATTTTATGAGTTACAAACTGAGACAGACATCATGTGCAGAACACATGCTTCCATCTCTAAAGAACTTGTGAACTAAATCTGTCTTCTCCCACCACTTGTTTCTTTTGATGCCAAAATCCAGTGCATGCAAACGGACTTACAACACAATTCGTCTACCTAATCGCTTAAAGGCTAAAAGACCTGACAACTTTCGCTGCTTCACTTCGATCTGTCACACATCACCGAGCACAGCAGCTACTTTAGGAAAACACCTACTATCAACAGACACATGCTTCCATATGCAATTATCCATAAGGGCCAATTCACTTGCCGTCCTCTCCATCACCATTTCCACGCCCGCCGGCTGAGGTCCCCTGGCCATCACCACCTGCCCCAGACTCAGAGGCGTCTTGCTTGCTTCCTCCACGCCCATCATTTGGGTCTCCAGCTGAATTTGGGCCGCCACTACCACCACCACCATGTGTGGCCTCAGTATGAAGCATGGAAGGCATGCCGTTAGGCCCTCCAGGTCTCATTCCCATTTGCCCTTGCATGGCTTGTTGGTGCTGCTGTGGATCGTGCATTTGATGCATGTTATTGAATTGCATCGGCATCTTTGGGGAGAAAATACCCTGTTGCTGAGCCATTGCTGCTGCCTGAGGATGTTGCATGTAATATCCTGCCTGTTGCATAGCAGGATGTGGGGCCATCTGCAAGTGTTGAACATAGATGATAAGCATGGATAGAAAAGACGAATCAGTAAAACATCGAGTCATGCTTACTACCCCCACCTGGGGAGGGGCAGCTGGTGCCTGTGGTTGCGCATCGGCAATTGCTGCTAAATACATCAGATTCTTTTGAAGCAGAGCCTGGTACCTAAATCATCAAATTTGCAATAAGAAAAGTCATATCCAAAAATCATAATAGGGAGACCGCCATGAAATGAATGGCCAACGATACCCCCCCTCCCATATCAATAAATGTGTAAAATCAGTTAATCCAACAATTATAATAGTAAACAAGTTCTTAACATTAAGGATCTTGTTATCAATGATACCAATACAAAACATGAGGCTAGTTCGAAATTCTAACATCTCTAACCAGTCAGATTAAGCTCTCTAATTTCTAAGAGACAAGTGCAATCAATTGTATACAGCCCCAACATATAACTCAAAACATAATTCACACAAATGCAAGTGTGTCTGAGAGAGAGAGAGAGAGAGAGAGAGAGAGAGAGAGAGAGAGAGAGAGAGAGAGGGCGGGTTTACTGAGCACACTCAGCAAGTTTTCCAAGATTTTGATTATCCAATATTGCCAGAATCAACTTTTTGTTGTCATCAAGGTACTGCATCAAGAATTTAAAAACATATTATTAATAGATACTTTAAATTCCGACACATCAAGTGAGATCCAATATCATACTTAACAATCAAGGTGGATATCCAGAAATATCAACAACAAAATAACTGTACCACTGACAACTTAGATCCAAGTTATATCAATGGTGCCAGTAATTATCAGCCTATTATAAATTCAGGGGAAAGTAATTAAGGCAATTACAACCATACATGAAGAGAGCAACATTGTACATGATGCGAAAAAAGGCTAGAGTCATCCTAAAATCTGAATATGACAAGTAACAACATAAGATACTAGCATCTAATGCTGGTAATGACCATCGTATGTCTTAATTCTTCATCAATTTTAGGTTCAAAAAGCATAATTCAACCTTTCAAAAGAGCTTCTTGCTTATATGGAAATTTTAGGAAAAACATCAACCCTATCTGTTACTTTATCTAACTACTCACTAGCTTAGGGTTTCAGACAATGAAGCTTTGGGAGAGAGTAAATGAGCGTAGATTGAAGCAAGAGACACGGTCTCAGACAATCAATTTGGGTTCATGCTAGGGTGCTCGATTATGGAGGCAATCTATCTCTTACAAAAATCGATGAAATGATATAGAGGCATGCAAAAGAATTTGAACATGGTCTTTATAGATTTGGAAAAAGCATATGATAAGGTCCCAAGAAAAATTCTTTGGAAGATTCTAGAGAGAAAGGAGTATGAGTAGCACATATCCAAGTAATAAAGGATATGTATGATATGTATGGTGGAGCAAGGACTACAGTAAGAACTCATGAAGGACAACTAAAAGCTTTCCCATAACCATAGGGTTACACCAAGGCTCAACTTTAGGTCTTTACCATTTTGCATTGGTAATGGACGAGTTAATGACACATATTCAAGATGATATCCCTTGGTATATGCTTTTCGCAGAATACATGGTGAGTGCTGACGCATGTGGGAGTAAATACAAAACTTAACCTTTGGCGGGAGGTCTTAGGAATCTAAAGGTCTTTGCCTAAACAGAATATATAGGGTGCAAGTTATGTGGGAATGGGGTTCCGAATGAGATAGGGATGAGGATTAGAGACTAGGAAGTACCAAAGAGTCGACCCTTTCGTTATTTTGGATCTATCTTGCAAAAGAATTGAGATTTGAATGGATATCCCAACCATAGAATACAAGCTAGATGGATGAAATGGAAGAGTGCATTGGGTGTGCTGTGAAATTGTCTTTCGCTACTAAAACTCAAGAGAAAATTTTATATGACGACAATAAGGCCATAAATGCTTTATGGCACCGAATGTAAGCCTTTTAAAAATGAGTGTAACAAAGATGATAATGCTTCGTTGGATGTGTGGGCACACAAGAAATGACAAGATTAAGAACAAGGATATCCGAGCTAAAGTAGGAGCGGATACAATTGAAGATAAGATAAGATAAGAGAAATCCGGTTAAGGTGGTTTGGACATGTGAACCGAAGATCTATAGATGCTCCAGTTAGAAAATGCAATTATGAGATAGAGACTCGGGGAAAAAGGGTAGATGAAGACCTTAAAGACTTAGAGCGAGAATTTAAGAAAAGAGATAGAGTACTTGGAGCTAATGGAATACTTGGAGCAAAACCCGACACAATGGTGTTCTAGGATTCATACAGCTGACCTTAGTGGGATAAGGCTTTGTTGTTGTATCAAGAATCCTGGTCTCGTAAACAAGAACATACATCTTAGGTGACAAGAGAGCTATATCATGTCTGCCTCGATCCCCAATTCAGGGAAGACTGGTAACCAGTGAAACAAAATCTGCACAGCAGTAGAGTAACTAGATAGCTTCTCAACATGAAATCCAATGGCCAGAAGGCTGATCGAGGGAAAAATCTAAACAGACATTAAAAAGGCACTTCACACAGATTAGGAGAATAAACTACAAGAAATACTAAACATCCCTAATGTTTCAACAAAACATTGGACAAGCACCAACTGAAGACTATGTCCCGTGGGCTTTTTTTTCATATAACAAGAAGAACGTTCCCCTATTACTATGAACTAGGATTCTGTATTTGGTGAAATAAGTTAATAATCTTTAGTTATTACACTTGACGTTGCAGAGGAAACACTGCCAGAAATTGAACTTTGTTAAAAAAATTTCTTTCATACCCTGAATGGGCAACAATTGATTAACTACCCTACCGAGGGGGGAAAAATAAGCTTTGTTCCTAAAAATCTTTCATGTGCCACATGCTCATGATTACTTGACTCCTATGTGAAAACCACTTAAAGTAGACACAATTATACACATTAATTAGACACCACCTTTTGAGTTAATATTTCATTTCCGTCTGCA